TTCAATAAACTATAAGTTAAATTATATTTTTAATATAAAATTTAATTTAAAAAAGACTTCTTTTTTTTATAAAATTAATAAATCATAAATATTAATATAAATATTTCATAACTCCCACAATTATTTGATAAGTAATTGATTATGAATTTGACATTTCTTACCGGCTCCTAGGTCTGACACAAGGAACATGGGACCATAGCGTCTCTGTTTTGGGGGGAGACAGACAAGAAACTATGTAAAAAGTTCGGACCACGATTCCATCACAGGTCTATGGCAAAACTGAAATAGACTACTGTACTGGGTCTGGATGGATGCAAGTTCTTCATCAGTTTTGGCATTTTGCATTTTTACTTCTTACCCCTTTGCATGTTCTCTTCCCAATTATGAAGAAAGTCAAGTGCCCCATGCCTCTTCCCCCAACTTTATATCTTTCCAGTACTTGAGGATCTTCTGCTCCTCTGCACCCCTTTAATTATTTTAAATAAATTTTATATTTCCCTTAATATTTTCTTTAATTTTGATTATGACCTTAATGAATATTAAATATTATATATACATTTAAAAAATATTTTATAATTTAAATTATATTAAATTACAAAACATTATTCCTTTAGATGAGAAATGAATCCTTTATATTGGAGTTTTTCCTTTTTTAAATTTAAAAATTTTTATATTACAATTTAGTATAATTTAGACAGTAAAAAAACATACTCATATATATTTAGATGGTAGATTTTTTATAAATTTCTTTTTGAATGGGATGGCAGCTAATTTCATATCAACAAGTTAGTGTGACAAGCAAAAATTAATGTTAGGTTAAATGCTTAATTTGGTCCCTTAACTTTAAGAAATGAACATTTTTGGTCCCTCAACAATTTTTTGCATTTTTTGATCCCTCAACTATACAAAATGCACTCTGTTAATCCTTCTGTTAATTTGGGCTGTTAACCCTGCTTAGGTGGCATTTTTTATATTTTTTTTGATGATGTGGAGAGCAAAACTTAAAAAAGTGATGACATGTGCCATGTCACATGCTACCTGGCAAAATCGTGCCAAATACATCCAAATGGGTCTCACATCACCATCTTTGCCCATCGGTTACTGTTTTTCTTCCTTCCATGTTCTACAGAACCCAGATCTGGATTCGATGTAACCTAGCAAATAGGTTCCATCAAACCCAGCTCGATTCATTGAACTGAATTGCCTAAAAATTCCTTACAACAACCTGCAATTGCCCAAAAATCCCTCAAAAACAACAACCTGCAATTGCCCAAAAA